AATGGCCAATAATTGGGGGAGTCCGATACCCCCAAAATGTCGATCTGACGAGGTTATGTTTCCTGATACATATATGTCGGACAAAAGTAAGTCTTGATCAAATAATGTTTTCTGAATGCTAAATTATTCTTGTCCGACAAGTCCGATAGGAAATAAAGTTAAGACTAGAAGAAAAAGAATTTGGAATAACTGACTGGAAATGTTGGATAGATCGATGGGAAAAAGAAAGCGCCCTATATATTATATAATGATTACGTTATATTGCATGCTCATGCTGATTTGAATGACAATTTTTGAAGTTTCAGGATATGATGAACACAAATTCAAATTCTGGTAACTACCCACATAACAGGGAAAGAACATTCATATTCTCAGAATATTCCCTCAAAGTGCTTTTTGGAATGTTCCTTTAGGAATGTTTAATGAATATTCTAAGATTGTTTCGATTGAAATATTCATTTTTCAACGTTCTATTTATGTACTAGGAATGTTGCTTCTATGCACCTACCTGAAAGATTGTACTAAGAACCTACTTTATATAACATTATTTGAATATTGTCATACGAACATTATTATAATGTACCCTAAAAAATGTTCTTTCGGCTAATATCTCTATCAAGTATTAAGAATATACCTACCAAGTTGTGCTGAGAAGTTTATGTAGGCAGGTAACCATGATAAGAATATTTTCATATTGTTCACCTAATTATTTAAAGTACCTACTCAAAAATCTTAATTGAACAACTAAATAATAATGCTCTATCTAGAACCTACTAAGAATATTATAGGTATATTCATTTTCTGTTGCTTTGTAGGACTTCCAAGAGAGGTAGCCACGCGCTATTAAAGATCTACATCTTGCCTCGCGTTTGAATCACCTTGGAACCTGTTTCTCTCAGTTGGCATGCTTCGACGAGAGCATAACAAGCTCTAAACCGGAGCTTTGGTTAAATACTTGTGTTTTCCAGAGAAGTTTTCCAACAACTGTTTCACTGCCTTTAATATAAAAGGGCTGAAAGGAGCATTATTTGGAAGGGAAAATTAACATTCCAAATATATCCTTAGAATCAAACAAGAATGTTATGTCTAGGATGCCTATTGAGAATGATATATGTAGATATATTCTAAGAATATTTCAAGCATATTGGTATAATATTCTTTTGAGAACATAACTATAATGTCATAGAAACATTCTTTGTATGTGAGAATAGACATTTCGAGCATATTTTCAGAATCAAACAGGAATATTCTTTTCAGGATATACTGAGAATCTCATAGGTATATTCTAGGAATATCCTAATGGATTTCCCAGGAAGTTCTTGGGTATTGCAAACAGTATTTCTATAATCTTTTCTCAGAACATTCTCAGGACATTCGCAATGGTTTTGGCGAACATTCTAGGCACATTCCTCCTAAAAAAAGAACATTCTTAATACATTCTAAGGATGCAATTTTGTTATGTGGGTACATAGAGAGAGTGACCCATGCTTAAGCCAATGTCTTGAAACTTGACGTCATCATTTCTGAGTTGAAAATGTTAATACAAAAGGAGTCAAGACTTTTGTCTAACTTGAAATCGCCTAAAAATAGGGCCTCAATTCGACATTTTGTATTTGCCAGTAAAGGTGGAATTTCGTGCCACTAATTTTGCAAAGAGCAGTTGGCAACACTGGTAAATTCAAATGGAATGAAGTAGCTTAGGTATAAAAGTAGTCTATAGTACATTAATTACCGGTTACAATAAAATGTATCTTTGCTGTTAATATTTTTTTGATTATGTATTATTTTTTGCAAATTTTTGCCTTTTTTTGTCGGACACACATCTATTTACAATATAGAGCTAATTTAAGATCGAAATTTTTTTTAATGAGACTTACATGTATCAGGAAACATAACCTCGTAAGATCGACATTTTGGGGGTATCGGACTCCCCCAATTTGCCATTATTTTTGTCGGCCAAGTTGATTTCCGTGATTTAGACATAAAAATCAAACAATATTCGTAAAAATAGATTTACATGTATCAAGAAACAAAACCTCGTCAGATCGACATTTTGGGGGTGACGGACTCACAAGAGCTTGGTGGTAGCCCCAAAACAATTCTAAAAGGTTAAGGCAAGGAGTGCTGCGTTGCCAAATTGACGTCAAAGTATTTTATTTTGTTTGGGTTAGATTTTCCTAACAGGTGCGGACAATGTTTATTGTTTAACAGTGATGAAAACAGCAGTTTTCAAAATATGTAGGTAATGTTTTCAAATTGCAGAAAATGATTTTTGACGAAAGTTGTTTATTTTTCAATGGTCAGAAAAAAAGTTTTTTGCAGATGCTAGTTTGTTTGTGCAATGAAAGATTTGGATTTTGTTGGAATTTTCGACATTTTTATACAACAATTATTATCAAAACTCAAGAATCGTGAACAGGAATGCTCATCCTAATAAGGCGTATGTTCACCAATTCTTGAGTCGATAAGGTCTACGAGTGACGTCACCACATCAGCTAATAGTGATGACGTCACCCGCAGACCTCGATGGAGGGCTTGCGATTCAGGTTGTGCTGGTTATTTGAATTTTTCGTCGATTTTGAATGTAGAAAAGGTGAGTTAAACAAGATTTCAACGTTTAGGAATTGGTTTTTTTGACCTATACTATAGTGCTTTGAACTTGAATAATTCATTTTACTCCAAGAGTTGAGGTCTGCGGCTGACATGGCAGTTGGCAGACACTTTTAGCTTTCAGCTCAATGAGCAGTCCTACTAGGGATTAAAAACAGGATACTGCCATTTTCTGGACACCTGAAGCAAAGATGATCCGTTTTTTTCCTACAAATGTGCTGAAAAAAAACTTTTGGCATGCACAAAGACTAAAGAGTAATCTTTCCGCAGTCCCTTGGGAAAAATTGTGTTTCTAACACTTACAAGAAATGGTATTTCCCGCACTTGTTAGAAAAATAACTATTTTTTTTTTTTTCGAATTTGATATGAACAAATTTTCCGCCCTGTCACGAAACGCGTTACGCAGCAACACTACGACTCCGAAGGAGGAGTGGTGTTGCTGGTAACGCGTTGTGTCAGGTAAAAGTATTAGGTAATCCTGAAACATCGAGTGGTATTCAAAAGGTTATACAACTCACTGTACATTATTCCCATATGACACGAGAGGCTTAATAAGTGATAAGCCTTTTGGGATTATCGCGCTTGGTGGCATTTATGGCAAATTCTATTAATGGTTTTTTTTTTTAAATTTTAAAGTATTAAAGTTGAGTTCGTTGTATAATCGAATGCAATACCACAAGAGGTTTCAGGATTACCGGATAATACTTTTACCTGTCACGAAACGCGTTACGCAGCAACACCACGACTCCGAAGGAGGAGTGGTGTTGCTGGAAAGGCGTTGAGTGTCAGGTAAAAGTATTAGGGAATCCTGAAACATCGAGTGGTATTCAAAAGGTTATACAACGAACCAAACTTCAATACTTTATTGATTTTTATTGGCAAATGAACAATATTGCCACCAAGTGCGATAATCCCAAAAGGCTTATCACTTATTAAGCCTCTCGTGTCATATGGGAATAATGTACAGTGATTACAAAAGCATAGTCACGTATAGTATAGTCTGGCCACTAAAGATCAGAACCGCAAAAATGCTGGAAGCAACTGAAATGGACTTTTGGAGGAGATCGGCAGGCAGGTCAAAAATGGAGAGGATAACAAATCTGAGAATTAGGGAGATTATGGACGTAAAACACACAATAATAGATGATATAAAGGACAAACAGCTGATTTGGTTCGGACATGTACAAAGAATGGCAGATACAAGAATACCCAAGCAAATAATCGAGTGGAAGCCAGGGGGAAGAAGAAGACGCGGCAGACCAAGAAGAAGCTGGAGAAGTGGTGTAGACGAGGAAATGAAGGACAGAGGCCTAGAAGAGGATGCCTGGATTGACAGAGATGGTTGGAGATCGGGAATCGGAAGACGTAGAACGTTATAAACCGATAATTATATATATATCAAAATTTAATTTTATAATAACCTTCCAACAGATGCACAAAATTCTTTTTCGTTTTGTTTATCTCTGTTTTTTGGGAACTCGTGAACAAAAAAAGTTAACAATAACATACTTGTCATCACCAGGCATTTCTTCACAGATAGCCATATTTAATTATCCAAAAATAAATTCAAACATTTTTGAATTTTGTCCATTGAGTGCAACACTGTGCGACGCCGCGCTGCAAATTGTCGCTAGATAAATATTTCATTGGTTTAAATGAATAAATTCCCACCTACACTTCACGACGCATCGCATTTAAACCAATGAAATATCTATCTAGCGACAATTTGCAGCGCGGCGTCACATAGACGGCGTCATGTCGCGTCGCCGAGCTGAGTGAAGCGCAAGTGAGAATTGACCTTCTAGCGTGGAAAACTTCATTTTTATCATCTGCAGCAAATCAGATTGTATATGCTGATGAATTGCTTTGATTTTTTTGGAAAAGCTTTCACCTGTAAATAATGGAAAAAATTAAAGAAGTAAATTCTCTTTTGTAGAATGAGGGCCCGTTTCCACGTGCTATTGGTGAAGTATTGCAACTAGTTATCTTTTTAGAATATTGCTAGTAACTGAGGAATTTATTTTGAAAGCTCGGATTTTTATCAAATTTAAAAGGGTTTCGACTCAATATCAAAACACAAATAATTAAAATTTAATGTTATTTTTTTAATATTTTTTTATCTGCTAAAGGTAAAAATAATCAACAAACCAATACCTAATTGTTAACGATTGATGGCGATTTACTAAACAACAACAAACAAAATAGGCTGCCTTCCATAAAATGCTCTCAAATAGGGAGTGCAGACAGCTTACAACTTTTTTTTTAGCCCTGAATAAGGTACCTATAATAGTATGACAACACCATAAAAATGGCCACAAAAAACTAAATTACATTAAACATAATACATAAAATTAAGAGGTGAAAAGTCGTCAAATCTTCAAATGGTGACTTCAGCCCCATGGTTGCAAGTGGATGACCTTCTGACCGTACCAAGGACCGGCGGCACCGTCACCGTTACTGCCCGAATGTTGTGAAGCTGCTACGGCAGCTGATGCAGCTGTCAACGAACCCTGCTTAGCTGCAGCCGCCTGTCTTAAAGCTGCGCTTCCGTGGCTTTGTATTGCTGAGATTTTTCTTGCAGCATCATCTAATAATTTATGATATTTCTATATTGGAAATAATATGATGGATTAATCTTACCGTTCTTCTGGATTTCATGTGCTGCATTGTTAGCACTTTTTTGAATGATCGCTGCAGCATGAGCTTCTTTATGAGCTGCGATGCGTTGAGCTTCAGAAACTTCAGCTTTGGCTTGCGCTAAACGTTGCTGGGCACGGACTACTCCAGTTGCAGCTGCTTTGGCTTCCTGTTGTTGAATTGCTGCAGCTGCTTCAGTTTTCTATAAGAGCAATATCAACCGTTCAAATACACTCATCAGATTTGTGAAATCAATTCTTACTTGTAGAGCAAGGGCTGCATCTGATTGTTTTTGACTAGCCACGTGCTGCTGGTGAAGCACTTCTTCTTTAGCTTCTTGGACACGACGTTGGGCAGACATAACATTGGCCGAGGCTTCCTTGGCGGCCTGGATAGCTGATGCGATTTCGGCTGGAGAAACTGGATGGTAAGGTTTCTGAAATAAATTATCAACAATAACGAAGACTTCGACAACATAACTCGTGAGTTTATTTTCAAAAAGTAAAAATTATCAATAGTAATATAACGAGTGCAATGGAAATTATCGATAATTTTAGGGAAATTTGACCAAATGCAATTAAATTTTAGTTTTAAACGCATCAGTGCGAATTAGTCAAAAATTATAAATATATTTCCATCGCACGAGTTGTATTTTATGGAGAATTTCATGAATCAATACCGGTATTCTTTCGATGTGAACAAACTGATCGAAATCAATTGAAGTTTGTTACAAACAATTATTGTCATCCGGTTTTTAAAACGATTTCATTAGCCTCAACTGTTTTTTGACGTCTCATAAACAAACCTTATTTGATCTCAATCGGTTTGTTCAGATCGAAAGAGTACCTGGAATAATTTAATTTTTTTGTCAAAAAATTTCAAAACACCAGTTCTCGCACCGGTCACTATGCAATTATCGTGATAATTTGCTCCAGTGCAAATTATCGCGTAATTCCAATCTGATTGGTTCAAATCAACAATCAAAACATGTCAGTTTATTGTTGGAATGTCAGCTTTGACAGATGTATGAAATTCTCATGGCCGTTTGCACCGATCATTTTAAGGAAGCCTTAGCGATAAGTATTTCTTAAAATGACATTTTTACGTGGAGAAATGTCACTTTAAGGAATACCTATCGCTAAGGTTTCCTTAAAATGGTCGGTGCAAACGGCCATCAGAGAAACATGCTATCAAAATAGAATTTTTTGAAACTTACGTAAACTACTGGAGCGGAAGAATATCCTGAATCACTATGATCGAAATCTTCAAACGAGTTGAATCCATAACTTCCTCCAAAAACGCCTCTTTTCACCAAATGAGCTGATGCCAAATTGGCGTTAGCGAAAAGAAAAATCACAACAGCCTTAAACGAAATATTATGAATCAAAATGGGTAAATAAAATAAATAATAAAATCAAAAGAATAAAAATCCTATTAGAAAAAAAACGCATGGGGCCTTTATGCAGAAAGTACTTACTCCCGTAAAGAACATCTTGCACATAAGTGTTGTTGGTTCGGTGGATGCAAACTGCACTGACTACCACTGTAACAGTTACCAACTTTTATACCATTCTCAAACCGAATTAACCCAGTATTACGCTCAAATATGACAGTGCCCGTAATTTTCTTTCTTCCGTATTTAGAAGAATTTTTCTATAATTAAAGGAGCGTCCTGATATCACGATCTTTATTACTTTCTTTAGAATCATAATTTATGTCGCTAGTAATTAGACTATTATTTCGAATGTGCTATAGTACGGCATATATAATAGTTTGAGAGCAAATGGAATAATTGTTTATAAATTAAATTTGTCGCACCTATATATTGTCAGTAATATGTAATATGTTTAGAAAATTAGAAACAAATAATTATTATTAGCCATATATTTTTATTGAAAAGTAAATCCAGAATACAGCTTGAAAATCGGGAACAAAACATAAAAATCGCAGATATCGACTACTGATAATATAAACGTAAAACGAACTTCTTATCTATACTATGAGCAAACATCTATTGTATGAAATTTAAACAATTGTCTTTAACGTAAGAAAGTAGTTTGCTCACGTACTATTGTTTCCTTATAAGTCACGTAAGATGAACCTTTATATCCATTCTATTTGCAAGATTCCCTTTACCAATGCACTCGTTTGTCCAACGTAGATTTAATGTGTTAGATATACTAAACAAATTATTTCAATGGCTGTAATCATAAGGAAAGAATCATAATGGGGGCTACCGAACCATCTATTTTCTCGCCATTGGGATTATCGGCTAATTATGAAGTTTTGTCTTCCGGAAAATTGTTTTACACCTCGAAATGTGAACTTTCATTGTAATCCGTTTTTTTCTTTTCAGTTTGAAAGTGCCAATTTAGAAAATTGTTTTTGCTGGTAAATTCATAATTTAAAGTTTATTGTCTAAGCACTATAATTCCATTTGATGAATTATTATTTTTATGGTATTTTTAAACCACTGAGGAAAAATATCATCCATCTGATAAAACAAATTCCTCCAGTTCTACATTTTACCTAGTATTGATGTTTTAGCCACCATTCATTCACCAATTATTTTTTTTTTATTGGGTTTAAATACCGTTCAAAAATCGAAAACCTAGCAACTGAATTCAGCCAGCAGTATAAAAGCCAAAACCGATCAAAGTCATTTTATTGATATTTAAATTTCCTAAAAAATTAAATAGAGAACTAATCAAAAGGGCAATCAAAAAATAATATACTTTTGCGAATATTGCTAGTAAGCGCTCGAATGCAAATATTTTAATTTTGAAAGGGATGTAGTTTTATTTCTAGAATAAATGGAGCGCCACACTAATAGAAATTTCTAATATGCATTTTTCAAATTCATTCTAAAAAGATTTGAAGAGCTTGCTTTTGTGGTCAAAATAAGACTCTCTCTCCCCCATGAACCTATGGCTTAATCAAAATATGTGTCTTAAAATGCAGCTGCTGATGAGCTGCAGCCATCTATGTCTTCACGTATCAAAAAAAAAAAGAAAAACGGGAAGAAAAAAAAAAGATCATGACTGGCTCCATAGATAAATCTACAAGAGCAACGAAAACTAAAAGATATTGACAGAAACGCCGGATTGACAAGGAGTCAAATGCGGAATAGAAACGGTCCGAGAAGAAGTGAAAGGCGAAAAAGGCAAAAAAGGGGAGGTCAAGGGCGAAATAGGGTTGGTCCGCTGATAACTCAAGATGCGAGATATAAAAAACTGGAGAAGAAAATTGAGATAATTTGGTATGAAACCAACAAAAGAAATGGACACAACAACGTCCTAAACATATTATTATTATTATTTTTTTCGATATTCCTAATATAGGTATACACTCTTTCGAAACAATACGGATAGGGATACCGAATGATTGATACAAAAAAAATGTAGCCCAAGTTATCTGTTAAAATACATGGATTCAAAACATCTGAAAATGGCGATATCTCAAAAAACGGCGAAACTTTGCATGAGGGTAAATAAAGCCAAACAGCTTCCAAATGACCCTAACTAACACTCATTGTAATCTCCCTATCGATGTACCAAACACCCTGTACAAACCCCTTTTTTTTTCAATTAACCTTCAGCCCTATTTATTGGTCCAGCATAGCACCGCAACAAATTTAGTCCATGATGGTCCATCAGGTACGCCCCTATCAATCAGCGCCGTTTGACGTTCGGGTAAACCACATAGCTCACATACTAATTAGCTTGTCAATGCGCCGTACAAAATTTGCAACGTGGTTTTTGATCAGTGTATGCGGCACATCGAATTAAAAAGTACCGCAAAAGTTCCACGCAAACGACACACAACACAAACGGTACGTGAAACAATATTAAAAACTTTGTTATTCAGACCACAATATAATATTTTGAAGGAATAATTATTTCACTGATCTACAGTGTGTCCACTTAAGTTCGCAGCATATGGGAAACTTGTTTATTATCAATTTTACGAAAAAAAGTTATTCTTTATAAAAGTTTCTGCTTCTTGAAAAAATAGTATTTAACTATTAAAACTTGAAATAGCATGTACAGAGTGATCAGAAAATATACATAATTTTTTTGTAAAAGTAGAAAAAAAATGGCACGTCACTATTTTTTAAAACCTTTGAATTTTTTTCAGATTAAGCAAGTCATATTACAGCCAAAAGATACCTTTCCTTATCACAAAAATACCTGCCAAATTTAAAAAAAAAAATGGAAAAGGGATTTTTGAGCTAAAAAAACGTTTTTTTTTTTAAATTTGACACCTTGAGTGCGTTCAAGGACGGCAATGCTAATGCCAAAACTTACTTTTCCCCTTCTACTGGCGATACCAAATCTGGTGTGAATTTGCTGGAACGCCAAATAGGTACCGTTTCTCAATTCGCATGACACTTGCCATTAAAATTAACCTATAAATTTGTTTATCGTTATTTTTTAATTTTCGTAAAAATTCTTAAATTTACTATTTTCCGATCGTCAGCGTTAGTATTATCTATTCACCAGTTCCACTTTCGTTCTAGAACCTTTTTGTATTGTATTACATATTTATGTGTTGTTATTTGTACCAAAAGTGACAGACGCCACGTATCCAATCAGAATTCGTATAACCATTTCTAGACTCAGTTAAAATCACCTCCAAAAGTTACTTTACCGCAGCCGTTTTTGAACGTGTAAAGCCAACCGTTTTTAGCACGCTGGAGCCGAACTTGAACGCAATATGCCAATTTTGGCTTGGCTTAAGCCGTTTTTGAACGCAGCCCCTGTATCTCAGAAACTACGCATTTCCGGACACATGTTTATGGAAACTTTTTTCCTAAAAATATTGTAAGGAATCACATCCTGAAGTTACGAACCGTAGTTAAGAATCACTCTGTATATTTTTCTATTTTTTGACCACCCTGTATATGCTATTTCAAGTTTTAATAGCTTATTATTATTTTTTCAACAAGCAGAAACTTTTATAAGGAATAAATTTTTTCCGTAAAATTAATAAGAAAAAAGTCTCCCATATGCTGCGAACTTAACTGGACACACTGTATAAACGTATGAATTAGACATTATTGTTAATTTAGTTTTATTGCCAACAACCTAGGATAAGATGATTCAATCAACTTTAATGTTTGTTATCTATATATATATAAAACACAGTTGTGTTTTGTGGAAGCACTTATAACTCGAGAACGGCTGGACTGATTTTTATGATTTTTGCTTTATTGGATTTGTCTATCCTAACATAATAAATCGAAAAAATCCAAAAAAAAACAAAACCAAAAAATTACCTTTTTTACTTATTTATGAAAAAAATAATAATAAGCCCGCATACGGCGCCATCTCTTATAACCGATACCAAGTTTACCGTCGAATTTTCATTGCAAACCATGTGGATTTTATTGTCACACACTTTGCACAAAAACAATTTAAGGAAAGCACTTTACTTTCAATTGTTCTTCACAATAAAAATATCCAAAAATAAATAGAATTACAATGTTTTAATTGTGTATTTTATTTTGTTGTTGGTTCATTCCGAAAGAGCGCGAACTGGTCTTCCTGTCATTTCTTGACTTTTGACCATTGACGTTCTGTGGCTAAGTTCCGTTTCTCCTCTCAGGCATCCCTTGACAGCCGTGTTTCGTGCCGACTGTTCGGAGTGCTCCGTCCGGCTGGTGTCGAGTGGCAGAGAGCCAGGTTATGAGTCCGCCACAACCCCTTTGTATACGGCGCCATATATGATACCTAGAACGAAGCTCACCGATGCGCGGTAATTTCATTGCAGATGCAGTAGAACCATGTTGCTCAGGAACTGGAGATATTTAGAACAGAACTATTCCACTATTCTGATCAGATAGAGTGGTGCAGAAAGAGTAGATCAGATAGAATAGTGCAGAGTAGAACAGATGGAGTAGTGCAGTGCAGATAGAGTGATACAGGGCTGCGCTGTAGATTTTTTTCTGTTTTCTTTACATTCTTTGAACATTCCTGTGCCTGAGTTTATTTATTTGGTGGTACACTTTACAAGAAAAACGCCCACAAGCTGCCTTGAAAGGGATGATGTAAAATTTTAATTTTAGGTGACTTCTGATCTAGAGAGTAAACATTAATATTCTTCAACCAAAGCCAAATTCACCATCGAAAAAAACTGAATTTAATTCAGCTAATGGATACGTTAACACAACATTTAATAGGTATTTAATAATTCAGAGGCGGTACGAAGTTCGCCGGGTCAGCTAGTCATAAACATATTCTTAGACCTTATCAGTTTTTGCGATATGCTGGACCACGGACATATTCCCCGATATGCACAGACAGATTCCATTTAGCGCAATCATATCCGACTGAACATGACGTGACCTCTTTCCAATTAATGCGAAATCAGGGGGTCGGTGTGTATCGATATCTACCAGTGACAATAATGTTCGCCTGATTAGCCATTAATTGTAGTTGAAAGGGCTTGTGTACATGCGGGAATTGTTCTATTAACAATAATGTCCGACAT